ATATTATAAATCCTTTTTTTTTTTTTTTAAGATTTATTTATTTGACAGAGAGAGATCACAAGTAGACAGAGAGGCAGAGAGAGAGAGAGGAGGAAGCAAGCTCGCTGCCGAGCAGAGAGCCTGATGCAGGACTCCATGCCAGGACCCTGAGATCATGACCTGATCATGAGGCTTAAACCACTGAGCCACCCAGGCACCCCTATAAATCCTTTTATTTTGTGAATCTCTTCACTGATATTTACAGATAGACTTATTTTTACTTCTGTTTGTTTTGTACTTTTCATACTCTCACTTACGGTCTTTCCTTTCCACTCTGAGTCCCCTCTAATATTTCTTGTGGGGATGATTTAGTAGTCATGAGCTCCTTTAGTTTTTATTTGTCTGAATAACCCTTTATCTGTTCTTCTATACTGAATTATAGTCTTGCTGAATAGAGTATTTTTGGCTGCAGATTTCTCCCTTTCAGCACTTTGAATTTATCATGCCACTCCTTTCTAGTCTGCAAAGTTTCTGCTGAAAAACCAGCTGATAGCCTTATAGGGTTTCCCTTGTATGTAACTGTTTTTTCTCTTCTGCTTAAAAAAGTATCTCTTTATCACTACATTTCAATTAGCATAAGTCTTGGTGTGGACCTCCTTGGATTGATTTTGTTGGGGGAATCTCTGCTTTCTGGATCTGGATATCTGTTTCCTTTCCCAGGTTAGGGATGTTTTTAGCTATTATTTCTTCAAATAAACGTTCTGCCCCCTTTTGTCTGTCCTTCTTCTGGGATCTCTATACTGTGAATATTATTATGCTTGATGAAGTTACTCAGTTCCTTAAGTCTCTTCTCATTTTTTATGTATTTTTTTCTCTCACTGACTTTGCCTGCATACTTTCCATTAGTCTGTTTTCCAGGTTATTAATTTATTCCTCTGCTTCCTCGAGCCTGCTATTTATTCCATAATATGTATTTTTTATTTCAACTGTCATATTCTTTTTAAAAAATTTTATTTATTTATTTGACAAAGATCACAAGTAGGCAAAGAGTTAGGCAAAAGAGAGAGGGCAAAGCAGTCTCCCTGCTGAGCAGAGAGCTGGATGCGGGGCTTGATCCCAGGATCCTGAGATCATGACCTGAGCTGAAGGCAGAGGTTTAACCCACTGAGCCACGCAGGCACCCCTCAACTGTCATATTCTTGATCTCAGATTGTTTTCTTTTTAGTCTTTGTTAAGGGTCTCACTGATGTCTTCTATCTTTTCTCAAGTCTAGTGAATATCATTACAATCACTACTTTAAATTCTCTATCAGGCATAACACTTACATCTGTTTCATTTAGGTCTCTTGCTGTGATTTGTCTTGTTCTTTAATTTGGGACATATTCCTCTGTTTCCTTATTTTGCCCAACTATCTTGTGTCTGTTTCTCTGTTAGGAAAGTCACTTATGTCTCTTGCCTTTGAAAGTGGTGGGTGGGGCATCCTCTTTTAACAAGGCTACATCTCTCTTCTTCCCACAGGGGTGTGTATGAGCCAGACATAGCTGCTCACTGCAGTTTTAACAATATGTACTTGTCCTCTGCAAGAAGTCAGGAGATGCAGTGTTGGCATTATTTCTGCTGGTTTTCTGGGGAGGGGACCTGCAGTTTTGGGAGTGAGACCCGCAGTCTCAGCTGGAGGGGAGAATGGCATGGTGTAGGCAAGTTAGGTAGTGAATGCTAGTGCCTGGCTGGTTCCTTCATGTGGCTACGTGATTATGCTGTGGGATGGGGAAGGAAATGGCACCTGTTAGCTCCTTTTTTTTACTGTAGAAGTTCCTCAGTGAACTCTGGGATTACTAACTAACTCTCCCTCCTGTATGTCCCAGATATTTTTGAAACTGCTGCTGCTAAGCTGTATCTTCCTAGCAATTGTGCTTTCTCTTTAAGTCTAGGGACTCAGCTTCCTAATAGCCTCCAGGTTCTTTTAGAGTGGAGCCATTGATTTTTGAAAATTCTGGGGTTTAAGATCTCATGATTATAAGAACTGGTTATAAGAACTCATGAAATCTGGTCCTTCTGATTTTAAGAGCCAAATGCTATGGGGTTTCATCTTCCCTGTCAAGATCTCCATTATGATAGTCTGTTTCTCACCCCTCTCTGTGCCCACAGACCCCTCCCTCCCATGGATGGTGCATTATCCACTTAGGTCCCTAAAGTGTCTCCACCTTTCCTTTACACTCCAATGTAGTCTTTTCTCTTCACTTAGTTGTGGACTTTGTTCTGCCTGTCTTTAGGTATTTTTCTGGGTTATTTGCACTGATGGGTTATCTATTAGTTTATGTGGGATGAGGTGAGATTAGGATCCTCCTACTCTGTCATCTTCCCATGAAGTCTAATAGTGTCTTCCCTCTTGACATTTTAAGTTCAAAGCCATGTTTAAAAAATAATCTCAGTGGATCTTAATTTATGACTATAATTGCATCCATCAGAGCTTTCTGAGTTCTGTTCTCTTATAGTTATTTTCTGTCTGTCCCTTTAGATCTGCTTTAGTGGGGATACCTTCATGGTTCATTCAACTTCTTATTCCTCTCTGAAGGTACTTAGTCCCAGTAGATGGCTTATTATATTTCTGTGCCTGTTTATGAATGTGAGTTTCCTTGGTACATTATAGTCCTATATAGAGATCCCTTGAACAGTAGCTAGGAGGCTTGTTTTTGTCCTCATTGTTACCTTTTTCTTTTTTCATTGATGCTGTGTCCTCTCAAATTTCAATAAGAACAAAAATACAGATTTAAAGCTTTCTTTTGTTTCTTGAGATAACACTTTCAGAAGAGACACATTTACTCTACACTTTGAAGATGGTTTTCCATTTTCATTTAAAGTTCATATTTTTCTGATGAGAAGCAATCATTCAAATCAATATTTCTCGCTGTGTAATTTGGCATTCTCTTTGTCTACTTTTAAGACTTTCTCTCTTTAGGAGCACCTGGGTGACTCATTCATTAAACATCTGCATTCAGTTCAGGTCATGAGACCAGGTCCAGGGATCGAGCCCCGCATCAGGCTCCCTGCTCAGCAGGAAGCATGCTTCTCCCTCTCCCACTCCCCCTGCTTGTGTTCTCTCTTTTGCTGTGTCTCTCTCAAATAAATAAACAAATTCTTTAAAAAAAAGATTTTCTCCTTTTACTTGGTTCTCAACATTTCGCTGTGAGGTGTGTAGGCATGATTTTCTTTACATACATCAACTTGGGTCTGCTGAGCATCTCGAGTATGTAAATTTCACCAAATTTGAGAAATTTTCAGCTACTTTTTCAACCACTTTTTCTATTACTTTCTTTCTCCCTTTTCCTGTGAGAATGCAATTACATGTTAGATATTTCATAGTATCACAGTTGCCCCTCAGTCTCTCTTCATTTTTAAAATACTTGTTCTCATGTCTTTAGATAAGTATTTTCTACTGATATATCTTCAAATGGTCTGACTCTTTCCACTGTCCTATCCAATTTGCTCCTATGGTCATCCTTTAAATTTTTAAAATTCAGATACTGTATTTTTCTCTACTATAATTTACATTGGCTATTTTTTTTAAAGATTTTATTTATTTACTTAGAGAGCATGAGAGGGGAGAGGGTCAGAGGGAGAAGCAGACTCCCTGCTGAGCAGGGAGCCTGATGTGGGACTCGATCCTGGGACTCCAGGATCATGACCTGAGCTAAAGGCAGTCGCTTAACCAACTGAGCCACCCAGGCACCCTACCTTGGCTATTTTTTATAGTCCTACTAATCTGCTGGAATTTTTATTATTTCTGTCATTATGAACATATTTTCCCTTACTTTGGGTATTATTATAATAGTTGCTTTAAAATTCGTATACACTAACTTTAAAATTGAATCTATCTTGGGATCACTATAGATTGTTTTTATCTTATGAGTAAGTCTTATTTTGCTGTTTCTTTAAATGTCAAGTAATTATAAATTGTGTTCTGAATATTGGGAATATCGTGTTATTCAAACTCTGGATTCTACTGTATTCTTCTGATATGGTTATTCTGATTTTTGTTTGTTCAGCATTAATATACTTAACATTATTGGATGCAAAATGAAAATTCTGTGTTTAGGCAACAACTTAAATTACATTTCAGTTTTTTTAGATTTTGGTAGGCTGCTTAGAGTCTTCCATAGGTATATGTGGTTCAGGGCTTGGGGGAAATTTGGGAAGGGTTTATACAGAGTTTGGGTCTCCTTCTGTCATTCTGTCTTCTTTGTGTGACTTCCCCTAAGTTTTTCAGTGGATGCCATTGCCCTGATTTCTTTCTTCTGGTTTGTAAAAACTCTTTTTTGTTGTTGTTGCTGTTGTTGTTTTTTTTAAATCAGCTATTAGATACTCTGTCTAGCTCAGGTAGGGTTTCCCTCAGACTACAAGCCAGGAAACAAGAATCTTACCTAGGACTCTTCTTCCAAGCATCACTTTCTCTCAAGAATCTACCTATTCTTGGTTGCTATTTAGTGTTGATATTTGTATTTTGTTTAGGGTTTGTAGTTTTTGTGTATGGCTGGGCCTGTCCAGTAGGAACTTACCCTGCTGTACCAGAAACAGAGCTGGCAAATTTAGATATGATTACTCAAACTGTCTCTTATCTGATGGAGAGTTGCTGAGACATTTCATGTATAACAGAATCCATTCATTCTCACAAAGTCAGAACTATGTTTATTTTCTGCTAAGAGTAGAGTTGCTTCTTTTGATAAAATCTGAAATGTTTGTATTTAAATATTTCAGGTCTAGAGAAAGGGAAAAAATGAAATATTTAATTTATTGTGGTAATAATTTATCAGATTGAAGTCAGTTTTCCTATAGAAAATCAATAAGAAATGACAGCTGCAGAAGTTATCCACCATTATTTCTGAGAAATGTGCACGTTAATGTGTATGCTCCAGTCATCATCTTGGCTTTATTTGGATTTTAGAAAGATAATAATTGTAACAATAAATTGATAGAAACAATTACTAAAATGAATGTAATTTCCCCTTTATATTACACCATAGAAAGTAGCACATGCTCTGGAAATTGAGAACAAATTCCTTCAGGAACAACTGAAACAAGCTTTCCAGGTAAATTACATTATGTTCTTTTAAAATTGTCAACAAGTGAGGGAAATATCTGTAAACAACTGTTAAATGAATAATTTTGACCTTGAAAACTAATAGGTCTATGTCTTATACTGATATTCCAGATTTAAAGTGCATTCATTTTATGTACTAGGAATATATTAACAAAATTTAATTTTTATTCCTATTCAAAACAATAAACTAGAAAGAAAAATAAACTTCCTTAATCAAATAAAATAAATCTATTTCAAACTGAGACACTGTTATGTGGACAACAATTCAGGCATTCCAGCTCAACTCAGTTAAACTAGGATGTTGGTTTTTACTACTCTTTATGAAATTCTTGTTGAACGAGTAAAGAAATGAAAAAGCCTACAAACATTTTCATAAGTGGATAGAAAAAAGTATAATTATTTTTATTTTCCTTTGAAAAAATGCAAGATGATACACAAATTTGTTAATGATATAATTCTGAAATGTGGCTGAGGACAAAATAGATTAAAAAAAAAAAGCAATGGAAGGAGACTGGGAAAATGGCAGAATAGGAGGACTCTAAGCACACCTCATCCTACAGATACAGCCAGATGACACTTGTATCAGTGTAAAATAATCCGGAAAGCAACCTAAAGGCTGACAGAACAAACTCCACAATTAAACATAGAGAAGAGGCCACGCTGAAGAGGGTAGGGCAGGGTGAGGACATGGTGGGGAACTAAACATGTGTGTGGGACTGTTCCCCGGAGGAAGGGACACTGTGGGTAAAAAGAGGGAAGAGAGACTGCTACTTTGGGGAACCTACATGGAGAAGATGAATCTCTGTAATATTTGACTTTGAAAGCAAGAGTCTCTAAAATTTGTGAGTTCTTAATAGTAACACGACTTAAAGCCTGGAATTTTAAAAACTAGCACGCTGGCTCTGAGAGAGCCAGAGGGTATTAGGAAGCTGGGCTCTGTCTTTAATGAGACAGCACAACAAACAGTTTGTGGAGGTATAGCATAGTAGCAGCAGTTTGAAAAATGCATGGAGTATATGGGAGGGAGAATTATTTACTTATCTCAGAGCCCTTCTCAGAATGGTGGGAATCAAAGGGAAATACCTCCAGGAACAAAGGAAATAGTAGGTGCCATCTCCCTTCCTTACCTTTTAGCATAAACATAAGGCCATCTGTAGGAACCAGCATGATGCCGACATTCAGTACCTAACTTGCTTACACTAAGCCCCACCCTCTCACCCTTCAGTAGACCCAAACTTCCCATTTGCCTCAGTCCCATTGTTTTGGATCCCTTTACCCAGAAGACCCATGCAAACTTCACTAATACCTCATCTCTTGGTGTACTCATTTTGGTGCTCCTGGTCCTGGCAGTGGTGGCAGGTCCTATGGAAGCCCAAGCTACAATCTTGTTAAAATTGTGTGCCTTATCTGTGCAGCACTGGTCTACTGCCACAGGTCTCATTTCACATGCAGACTAGTGTGCACCGTATAAAATGTGCTCCACTACTGCCAAGGACCAAATACTGTCAACAATAGGCAGAGAGTCTCTGCAGATGACTGAAGAAAAAAGTGACTAGGACACAACATCAGGGCATATTCAACACCCATAGGAGACACCCCGTGAGCATCAGTTCCTTGGGACAGGGGTTGCTGCACTGAGGCACTACAGTACCTCTTCTTTATAAGGCCTTTTTAAAGAACAGGAGATGTAGCTAGCTTTCCTAAAACACAGAAACAGAGAGACTTAGGCAAAATGAGGAGACAGAAGAACATGTTCCAAATTAAAGAATAGGACAAAATCATATCAAGAGACCTAAGCTAAACAGATATACGTGATATACCTGATAGAGAATTTAAAATAATAATTATAAAACTTATTGGACTTGAGGAAAGAGTGGAAGATATCAGCGAGACCCTTAACAAAAAGATTAAAAAGAAGCAAGCAGAGACCAAGAACATGATAATTGAAATTAAAAATACACATGATGGAGTAAAGAGCAGGCTAGGGGAAGCAGAGGAATAAATTAGTAACCTGGAAGACAGGCTAATGGAAAGTATTCAAGCAAAGTCAGTGAGAGAAAAAAAATATGCAAAATGAGAAAGACTTAAGGAAATCTATGTCTTCATCAAACATGATCATATTCACAGTATAGAGATCCCAGAAGGACAGACAAAATGGGGCAGAAAATTTATTTGAAGAAATAATAGCTGAAAACATCCCTAATCTGGGAAAAGAAACAGATATCCAGATCCAGAAAGCAGAGAGTTCCCCAACAAAATCAACCCAAAGGTGATTTGGTGTGAGGTCCACACCAAGACACATGGTAATCAAAATGAAAAACTTACTGATAAAGAAAAAAAAATTTAAAGTAGCAGGAGAGAAGACAAGAAGATGATGGCAGAATATGAGGACCCTAAACTCACCTCATTCCATGATTATAATGAGGTAACTATCAAATCATCTTAAATACCACAGAAACCAACCTGAAGACTTGACAACTACGGGAAGAGGCCACATCAAAGAAGATAGGAAGTACAGAGATGTGGTTTAGGGGAGAAACGGATCTTGGCTGTGGCAGAGGGAAAGCGGCTACTGTCATCGAGAATGGCAGGGGAGAGAAGAGTGTGTAGTGGGATGTACAAGGAGAATGTCTCCCCAAAGTAACTGACTTGGAGGAAAAAATGGGCTGAATTTTATGAGTTCTTGCAACCAGCACAGCTTCAAGCCTACAGTTTTAAAAGTCAACAGGCTTGGCTAGGATAGAGCCCTGAAGGCAGTGTGTTGCTCTTAGAGGGAAGGCAGGCAAAAAATTTGGGGACATACAGTATGGAAATAGGGATCTGAAGAGTGCTTGGGGCATATAGTGGGGACATTATTTGTTTTTCTCAGAGCATGTTCCTGAGAGGCAGTACCCACTGAGACACCTCTCTGGGAACAAAGCTGGTCACCAGTTCCCTGCCCCACCCCTCAGCAAAAACACAGAGCCACCCACAGGAAGTAGTGCAGTGTGGACACTGGTGGCCTTGCTTGCTTACACTAAACCCCATTCCCCTGTACTCCAGTGGAACTGCCCTTCTCAGTAACGCTTACCTCAGTCCTGTGCAGTTGGTGCATCCCCCAGAAGACCAGAACAAAGACCTGCCCACATCACATCTACCAAGCAGAGAGTTTTGCAGGGCCTCAGTTCCCATGGAGGTGGTGACAGATCTCATTTCACAAGCATATCAGAATATACCTAATTAAAACTCCCCACATGTAGGCCAGGCACTAAACACTGCCAACAGCAGTAAAAGAAATCCTCTGCAATGACTGACTTGAAGGATAGAGCAGCCAGAATATAAGAGCAGAAGACAAGCAACACACTGTAGACATTCCCTGAAGCTCTAGGTCCTGGGTAGTACATGACTTCTTCTTCATAAGGCCATTACTTTTAGGACAGGAGAGGGAAACACAAATGGCTTTTCTAACACACAGAAGAAGGCAGAGTCTTAGAAAAAATGAGAAGACAGAGGAATTTATCCCAAATTAAAGAAGATAAATTTGTGGCCAGACATCTAAGTGAAGCAAATATAAATAACACGCCTGATGGAGAATATAAAGCAGTGGTCACTAGGCTATTCACTAGGCTTGAGAAAAGAATGGAACACATTAGTGAGACCCTTATCACAGAGATAAAAGAGTTAAAGTATTAATCAGAGAAGAAAAGTACAAAAAAGAAGGTTAGAAAGATCCTTGATGCAATGAACAGCAGATTGGAAGATGCAGAGGAATAAATTAATGACCTGGAAGGCAAAATAATGGAAAGCTATAATGCTGAACAAAAGAGAGAATTATGCAACATGAGAATAGACTTGGGGAACTCAGTAACTCCATCAAAGGTTACAACAGTTGTATTACAGGAGTCCCAGAAGAATTTGAGAGAAACTGGAGCAGAAAATGTATTTGAAGATATAATGGCTGAAAACTTCAATAATCTAGGGAAGAAAACAGACACACAGATCTAGGGGACATAGATAATTCCCATCAAAATCAACAAAAGGCTGATACCAAGACATATTTTTTTTTAAAGATTTTATTTATTTATTTGTCAGAAAGAGAGTGTATGCACAAGCAGGCAGAGTGGCAGGCAGAGGCAGAGGGAGAAGCAGGCTCCCCGCCAAGCAAGGAGCCCAATGTGGAACTCGATCCCAGGACCTAGGATCATGACCTGAGCCAAAGGCAGCGGCTTAACCCACTGAGCCACCCAGGCATCCCTGACATATTATAATTAAATTTACAAAATATAGTGATAAATCTTAAACGCAGCAAGACAATGAACTCTCAACTCTATGGTCAACTAATCTTCAACAGAGCAGGAAAGAATATCCAATGGAAAAAAAGACAGTTTCTTCAGTAAATGGTGCTGGGAAAATTAGACAGCCACATGCAGAAGAATGAAACTGGACCATTCTCTTACAACATATACAAAGATAAACTCAAAATGTATGAAAGACCTCAATGTGAGACAGGAATCCATCAAAATCCTAGAGGAGAACATAGGCATTAACTTCTTCCACATTGACCACAGCACATTCTTGCAAGACATATTTCTAAAGGCAAGGAAAACAAAAGGAAAAATGAACTTTTGGGACTTCATCAAGATGAAAAGCTTCTGCACAGCAAAGGAACAGTCAATAAAACTAAGAGGTGACCCATGGAATGGGAGAAGATATTTGCAAATGACATTACAACTAAAAGGGCTCATATCCAAGATCTATAAAGAACTCCCAACTCAACACCCAAAAAACAAATAATCCAGTCAAGAAATGGGCAGAAGACATGAACAGACAGTTCTCCAAAGAAGACATACAAATGGGTAACAGACACATGAAAAAATGTTCAACATCACTGGCCATCAGGGAATACAAATCAAAACCACAATGAGATACCACCTCACCCCAGTTAGAATGGCAAAAATTAAAAGACAGGAAACACCAAATGTTGATGAGGATGTGGAGAAAGGGGACCCT